AAAGATTGCACATTTTACAGGGTTTCTAGACCCAGGGCTGGTTTGCTGTCAGAGAGGTTTTAAGACTTGTTCTGCGCTGATTTGGGGATGAAAAGGAACCATTTGTGTCCTGAGAAGTGCTGCCCTTCAAAGGGGAAAGTTGGATGGAGGAAGAGAGAGAGAGAAGGGAAGTCAGTGCAAAGGCTCTCTTGCGGCGTGGCCTCACTGATTGTGTTTTACAGGTGGAAGCATCCCCAGGGATGTTCCTCCTTTTTTATCACTCGACACCAGCCTTGCAAATTCAACAGCATAGTACTGAACCACTGCAGCCTTGACTTGCAGCAGAGGGGAGGAGGGAAATGTGTTCTGAGGTCCTGGGGCAGGTGCTGTGCATGCTGCCGTACGCTGATTTGGATTTGGTTTAGTGGAGGAGCAAAGTCTGGCAGCAAATATATTTCCAATTTTTGTAATTCCTCTAAGATTTTCAAGTGCAGTCAGCCTTGAGATTGAAGAGCTTTTTTTTTTTTTTTTTTCCTTCCCTGCCACCAAAAGATACCATTTAGTGATGAAACTAACCTTTTACTTGGGATTTGTCTGTTGAATAAATTAGGTCAAACTTTCTGTATATTAAAGGAAAACAGCTGAAATGATGGGGTTGCTTCGCTCAGCCAGACTGAGAGCAGAATCCAGCCCATCAGTATCTGAAGAGAAGCAGAACTGTAATGTCCAAATAAGAACAACACAAACCCTAAGGCATCTGAGATTCCCAAGAAACCTGGGATGATCCCACATCACGATACAACTGGGTATTTATCCCACTGATTTAAGAGGGCTCCTTACAGGAAAGAAAGACAGCGTAACCACATGAACTGCTGCAGCTCACAGGAGAATTTAAAAGCTCCAGTATTTAAGTTGTGGAAGTACATCCCTGGGAAGGATGGCATATCCTGCTTTGTCCCAAAGATTTCCACAGAGTCGTTAAGATTTTATCATACCCCGCTTTCCGCTATTAACAATTTTCCAGATGGTTCGGGAGTAGCACTTCTTAGCAAGAGATAAGTTGCTGGCTGCCCAGTCAGAGGCAAAAAGGATGAGAGACACCAGCATGGGTGCTGGGCCGTGACAGAGGCTCTGGATGAGCTTCCAGTGACTCTCTGCGTGGGAATTCTTGAAAAGGAGCCGGGAGTTAGAGTTCAAGGTTCAAACCTGAAGTTTCAAGCATCCGTCATTCCTTCCTTTTGTTGTCAGAGAAATCATGGATGTCAAATGAGGAGAGTCTCATTTCTCAGCCTGTCTTAGCGTTGACCAAAGAATAGCATGACCAAGAGCGTGTTTCTCTAATGTTTTGTGAGTGTGGGAACATTTGTCTCCTGTACTTGTGTATGGTTGTGTCACGCTCCTAAATGTATCCTGCATTAAGCAACCTGCTGTTAGTTTTTCACTTGGGAAGACCTTTTAACCCAGGCTGGTGGCTAAGGTGGTACTTGAGGAGCACGGAGAGCTTGCAGAGATGAACTCTAATAGCTGTGTCCTTATTCTGTTTGAAGTCTGAGTGCAGTGTGTGTTCCCAGATCAGTACCAGAGCAACGTTCTGTAAGTAATGATCCGCTTTAATTAGAGTTGTACTAACACTGATGCATACTTAACAACCGTGTAAGCATAGTCATTATTTGCAGAAGGAAGACGTGACTTCTAAAGCTTTTTGTTTCGGTGTTACATATAAAAAAAACCCCAAATAATGGATCCAGCATTCTCATCTATGATTACTCGAGGCTATAGGCCAGTAATTTCACAGTGACTTTTTAATACTTGATTTTTTAAACCTTAAAATTTTATTTTTTTTAAAACATTGACTTTTAATTAAGCCTGATTTTTGCTCTTCATGTCTTGGGACACTATACGCTCTTCTGGGAGAACACAGGGCTGACTGCTTGGTGTTCCTGTGCTTACACTGGTGGAGGGTCAACCCAAAGTGGAAATCAGAGAACTGTTTCCAGACCTTGCAGAGGTCCCAGACGTGTGAGGACACTAGCATCTCCCAGCAGGTATGGGAGATGGCAGATGACCAGATGAGCTGGAAGATGGATGTGAACCATCTAATGGACCTTGCAGCTGCAGGTTCTGCAACTTAGTTGGTTGTGTGGCCGTGCATTGCCACCACATGGTCTTGCCAGCCAGCAGTCCCTGTGCTGTCTGTGTGAACCACGTAGGGAGGAGAACGGGCTGAACAATTTTTCTGCCAGGAAGTGTGGTTGCATTGAAATCAAACTGTCCCACAGGAGTTCATCCAGTCTGATGACATCCTCGGTGGGGCTGTTAGAAAGAATGGTGCAGATTGTCCTCTTTCTTGTCAATAACATGTGAGCTGGAGACGGGATTTTTTTTTTTTTTTTTTTTAATGGGGTATTATGAAGATGTGAAATGTTGTCCAATGAATGTTTTCATGAAGACTGATGCACTTAAGACACCCCGTAGACTTTTCTTAGTCACCACTCAGGGGCCTGCCACAGAGCTTGATGTCCAACAAACCTGCTTGTTGTCGATGCTGGAGGAGCAGAACTTCAGGTCTGAGTCTGCAAGTCCCAGCTCTGGTGAGGAGGGGCAGAGGAGGAGCTTTCCTCCCTAATTTTTTCTAGACAGCTTTAGTTTTATCTTTGTTTTTATTTTTTAATTTGAAAGGAAACCGCTAAATCCAGCAAGTAAATAGAAGTAAGAGGAGGGAGCTGAGAAATTTGAAGGATGAGTAGGTGCATGTAATACACGATTACTTCCAAGGAAAAGGTCAGTCTTGCTTTTACAAAAGGCAGTCCAGCCTCACAGTCATATGGGAGTGCTTGAAAGAAGTCAGCAAGTATGTGGATGAGAAGCACCTAGTTGGTGTAGCCTGCTTGGATTTTCAAAAGGTTTTCAATATGGGTTCCCATGGCGGGGGCTTTTAAGGAAACTTAATAGTCCTGACTTAAGAAGGATGTTCCTTGTGTGAACAAATACATGTCTAAAAGGTGAAAGGCAGGGGGGAAGTGGATGGTGCGTTACCATGGGGAAGAGGTCAGCAATACTCTTTACAGGGGTAGGAGCTGGGTTTTGTGGGGTTCAAAAAAACCTCTTAACTGGAAAAATTGTGAATTGTGGTGATATTTGCATGTGAAACAAAGTTTAATCGGGGCATGAAGAATAAGGACTGACAAAGAATTGCAGAAAAGCTTTTATGAGGCTCAGTGAGCATTAAAATGGAAGAAAAAATTCAACTGTGAAGTGATGGAGTTTGGGGAAGATGGAGGGAACCTCATTTAATTCTGTTTTCCTATCAAAAGCAGTGGGCTCCAAGCTGACTGTTACTGCTCAGGAATGAGATCTTTGGATGGCAGTAGGCAGTCCTGTGGAAAGGTCAGCTCAGTGCTAAGTGCCAATCAAAAGCAGCAAACCATGTTAGGGATTGTTATGAAAGGGAAGCAGGACAAAACAGAGAACATCATTATGCCCTTATATAAATCCACAGTACGTTTACCTCTTGGAAATTGTTTTTAGTTTGGGTCCATCTCAGAGGCTCAGAGGAGCGGGAGGGATGGCCAAGAGTGTCCTCAATTTCTTCTGTATGAGGAAGGAGCAAGTTGGCAAAAACCTCTCAGCGTGACAAAGAGATGATGAGGGGGCTAGGGGATGTGACGGGGATTAAAGAGTCCACCAGTGGTGTTGAGAAAGTGGATGGGGATTGCTTGTGTGATGTCTCTTCCAATACAAAGACCAGGGGTCATCAAATGAAACTAGGTGCTGACAGGCTCAAAACAAGTGAAAAAACGTGCATAGCTGAGCTGTGGAAGCTTTTGCTGTAGGAGGTCACGGATGCTAAAAGTCTGCATGGACCAAAGGGGAAGCAGGATAATGTCATGATTTAGAAGACCTTGAAACCACCTTTAGAGGTAATTCTGAACCATAGGCTCCTGGAAGGAAAAACAGACATTGAAAAAATTTTGTTCCATGCTACCTTGTTCTTACAGACCTCCTAAGGCAAAGTTTGGCCACTGTGAGATAAGGCAGGTTGAACTACATGGACATTTATCCTGAGCCATTCTCATGCTGCACTCGGTAGTCATGCCTTGGAGATGCGGGACTGACCTGAGGGTACTGTGGAAGCAGAGCCCAGTCACAGGAGAAGTGGCATTATTCAAATATAACAATTTGATGTCTTGAAATATTCCTATCGTTTTCTTTTCCCACAAGTTTTGTCTTTGTGTTCCCCTTAGCCACAACAGTGAGTTCTGAGCTGCTGGAATTTTTGCAGCGCATCATTTCCACCTTCTCAGGTACCTGTGACACCACTCGGTCAAAGTCTGGGAACTGAGCTGTGGACACGAGCATGTGAATTTCCTTCACTGACAAGTCCCCCATTATGGAGTTGGGAGCATCCTCTCCCAGCTGGGCACAGGAGGAGACATGAGTCTGAGGTCACCGCTGCACCTGAGACATCGCAATTACTTGCTTACTTGCATTAAGCTCCCTGTGTGGTTGCTGGCAGCTCTCCATGGCCCTTCAGGCTGTGGGATGGAGCTGCCCACCAGGGTAGTAAAAAGCTTTTAACTTCAGAGTCTAAAAAAAAGTACCTGGACAACCCAGGGCAGAGCGTGTACTGAATAGTGGGGTTACGAAAGCAGCCAGCCTGAGCCTGGAGCCTCACCTGGTCTGTGGATGGCGAAGATGATGATGAGAATATAGAACCATGGAATGGTTTGGGTTGGAAGGCACCGTGAAGATCATCTAGTTCCAAACCCCATATTTTGTGGACATAGCACGCTGTTCAGTGGGATTTGGCAGAACTGCTTTAATTTTGGATTTCAGTCGCTTGTTTGTCCTCTCTCCGCTCTCAGCACATTTATTCTTTTGTATCATGCTTCACCTGATGATGCATTTTCGTTCACAGGAGGGCTTTTCATTGCTGTAAAGGACTTCAGCCAATGCTGCACATTTATCCTCAGCCTCAGGATTTCTTTCACTTCTAGTGGACTGACAACCATGGAACAGTGATGGCACAGACACAGCAGGGTGTGTGGATTTTTCTTGAATTAAATGAAGCATGAACATTATTTCTGGACTTTCTTTTGTAGACCTACAAGTCATGTGCACCCTTATTTACTTTTCCCCCCACCTTTCCTCTCTTTCAGGTTTTAACAGTGAGAAGATGCTGATGGACAAAAATGAAACTTGGCTCTCCAATTTCTCCTCTGCTGCCTCTTCCTTTGTGAAAGGAGGCAGCAACGGGGCAGGGATCGGCGTCCAGGAGGTGGTCATTGGACTGATACTAAGCCTCATTGACTTGATCACGCTCCTGGGAAATACAATAGTCTTCATCTGCCCAGTGGTGGAAAAGAGGCTGCGCACCGTCACCTATATGTTTATCATGTCCTTAGCCACAGCAGACTTCCTCGTAGCTTGTCTGGTCATGCCCTTTAGGTAAGAAGCAAGATCAGATGGCAGTGTGTGTGTCCAACGTCATTTCTCCTAGCTCAGCAGCTCAATTTGAGCAGGGCTGGCTAGAACTTCACATGCTGTGCTTAGAGCTGGGCTCTCCAAAACGCTTAACTGCATTCTTCTGTGCCTCAGTTTCTCCACCCTTTATAATGGGTCCCCTTATAATGAATGGAGAGGAACTTCCAAGGGTATTTTGCCTCTTGGCTACACTGGGACCGTGGCTGCTGGTCTGACCTCTGTATCCAGCTTTTTCTGCGATGAGGCCCCTCTTCCAGGCCAGGCTGTGCATTGTATGTGGGGCCAACATGGTTGCTAGATGATGTTGCATGCTCTGAGTGGGGAATGTGAGATGAGGACTGCCACTGGTGTGTCAGCGTTAAGTGCAATGACTGTTTTGATCCTCCTTGCATTTCAAAGGGAGAGCAAACTAGAAGACGTTTTTCCCTTATTTTTCTTACTCAAGAATGACTACTGAAATCAGCGGAGTTAAATTCTGTGCTTGCAGTTTTACACTTCTTTAACCTTATCTTTATTTTCTGGTAGTGGGAGGGAGAAGTTAAAAAGATCCTTTAGTGTAAGAAAACGGATGATTTCATATTACTGAACTTGAAAGGCTATTGCAGAGATGCTATTCTTCATATTCTTGGGGAAACACAGCATTCTGATTGCTCCTTCTTGTTCAGACATACAGTGATGGAGTTTGGGGAAGGCCGGCGACCTCCCAAACTAAATCTTTTGCCTGCATAAACAGACTAAAAGAACTGCAGCTTACAGTGGGATCACAGATGGGATTCACTGCACTTGGGGGAATTGTTTTGCCCCTACTGCCTGGCTGCATTGCACATCCATAACGGACAGTGTTGACACGGTGACAGAGGCCATCTCCCCTCCCTCCGTGTAAATGTAAGGATTTTATTTTAGTATAAGTAGGGTAATTCAGGCTTCACCTATATATAATGGAGGAAGAGGCACTTCAGAGGGCAGTTGCCCCGGCTTGAAGTTTATATTTACAGGAACTTCACTACCTGGCTAAACCATAGTAAAACGAATCCAGAAACCAGTTTGCTTGTAGGTTCTGCCTTGTGCTACAGAATGGTTGTAGGACTGTATAAAGTGGGGAGCTGCGCCCTATTTAGTGTTTCTGGAGTACTATGAAGAAGCTGAACACTTTTCATGGTCTGTGCTTCATTTCTTACAGAGCTACTTACGCTTTTAAATTTGGCACCAAAAGGTATTTTCCCAACAAGCAATTACAAACTGAGTTAGCAGTTTATAGTGTCAGGTGAAAAAAAAGCAAATGATGCCCTTCAAAAAAAATATTACCACCAACTTCAATTCTAAGCTCAGTGAATTTTTTAAATCCAGGTTCTGAAATCATCCCTCTGTATCCACTTGTCTCTCCCCTCCACCTGGTGCTACAAATATCTGCCCCGGGGGCTTGGATTGCATCTTAGTTTGGTGATGATCTAACCTGCTCCTATCCTATCGCAGTCAGTGGGAGTGAGGGTAGGGACCTAACCAGGAGATTCGTATCGCTGATAGTGAGGGTTTTGCTCTGTGTTGGAGAAAGATGGGATTGTGGAAGTGCCTCTTTGCCAGACAGGGGTGGAAAGGGTCTCCAGGTTGGCCAGTCTTGTTCCCTGAGGATTGCCAGTGGCTCTGAGCGGGTGTGTGGGTGAGGACCTGGCTGACCTGGGAGGGTTTGCAGAAACGATCCATGTGCTTCTGTCAACAGTAGCACCCATTAATTTTTCCCAAGAGAAGCTCTGCTGTTTCCCACTGCATGGATGAGGTCACTGCAATAAAATGCAGCGGATCATTTCAGCCTCCTAGAAAAACAAGATGTCAGTCACTGAAGATCAGCTAAAAAGCAAAATCTTTCTGCTACCTGGTGATTCCCTGGCCTATTTTTTTTTTTCCTTTCCATGTTCTTGTTAAACCCAGATACCAAAGGTTTTCATTCCAGTCCAACCCAGGTGTCTCAAGGGCTCCTCTGGGACTGCACAGCTGCTTGCTTTTCCAACCACCCAACCACTCCAACCATCCCTCAGGAGCTCACCATCTCTGTTACCCCAATCCTGCCCAGAAACGGCAGCACCCCTTTTGCTCAAACAAGACAAAAGCTGAACAATTCCTGCTTGGAAGTGAGTTCCAGCTGATGATCTCTATCACCGCTTCCTCTTTGATTTTGCCTGTTGTCTACTTGATGACTCCTCTAGTGTCTCCACATTTTGCTCGTGCTTGGCAATATCTGTCCTCATTTTTTTTTTTTCTTCTAAATAGAGCTTGGGCATTTCTAGTCACCCAGCATTCTCATTACTTCTGCCTCGTACCTACTGATGTGGTATTTGCATTCTGGGCGTTGGGAGGGTATGGTAGCAAAGAACAAAAAGCAGGTGGGTGTCTTGGCAGCTGTAATTTCCTCTGTAAGACGGGCTGCATCCCCCGTAACTGGAATAAGATCTCTTCCTTATCGGGGGAAAAAGGGAATTTGGCACTAGGTTTTGCTCAGTTAGGAATGCAAAGGGGAAGAAAATTGGACAATTCCTACTTCTAGGTTCCCAGGAAAGCATGGAAGGGACAAGAAGCAGCAGATGTTTCATTGGGAAATCTGTCTGTAGCTTCTCATGCCCAACAAGAAAGGACAAATAGGGAACAAAAAGAAAAGGCACAACAGAGATGAAGAGGGGCCCACAGCTGTGAAGAATATGAGGGGAGGGGAAGGATCATATAATGGTTTGGGTTGGAAGGGACTTTTAAAGGTCATTTAGTCCAACCCCCCTGCAGTGACCAGGGACATCTTCAGCTGGATCAGGTTGCTCAGAGCCCTGTCCAGCCTGACCTTGAATGTCTCCGGGGATGGGGCATTCACCACCTCTCTGGGCGACCTGTACCACTGTTTCACTGCCCTCGTTGTAAAAAATTTCTTCCTTATATCTGGTCTAAATTCACCCTCTTTCAGTTTAAAACTGTTACCTCTTGCCCTATCAAAGCATGGTAGAGGGCATTACAAGGGGAGAAGGATTTCCATGAAAACCAATGGCTTCACTATGTAGCCAGAGAGAAAATAGCCACCTAGGAGAGTGTCTTATTTAAGAAAAAAAAAATTACAAAGGGGATCAAGGAGCAAAGCACAATTGATGCTTTCTGCCCTTCATGAATGTCTTAGTGTCGCCTGGGGTAAAGACTTGATGGCTCTTGATTTGCCATGTGGTGAGGAACGGACCCTGCCAGCTCCATAGGGCCTTCTTCGGTCCTGCTGATGGAGTGGCTGCTGTTTCACATCTTCCCCACCATCTTGGCTTCATATCTATTTGCTCTTCTGAATTGCAGTTTGCTCCTCAGCTGGCATGTTAGCACATGCCAAAGAGAAGGAAAAGAAATGATCTTTGGAGCCAGTTTGGCTCAGGAAAATATGATAGAAAGGAAAAACAAGATTGTCGTCTGGTGCCTTAATCTCATAAGACTTCTGCTTTTTGTCCTGGTTTGGCTTGTTTGCAGGAGCCATTCAGCTGTGCTTAGCTTGTCATCTGGCTACTCCAGCCAGCCCAGTCATTTCCAGGCTGAATATTTCCAGCTACTCTTTTGCAAGTATAAGTGAAACACAGAGGGGTCTTCACTTCTGCTCATACTGTGTGTTTCTTCCAAGCTGCAAAGACCTTTTACATCAGAGAAGAGGGAACAGGTATCCACTACCCTGTGCTGTGAGAACACCTGCTAGGTCAGGTGCATCCCACCAGATGCATGTTGATGAGAGCTGGGTACCTGCTTAGCAGGGATCTGTGTGCAGGGATGCTCATGGCAGCAGCATGGTCTACTTCTGGAGAGCCATGGTGCTCACACCACAGGCTTTGCAGCATCTCTGGGGATAAGGAGGGCTTCTGAGGAATGGCAAAATAGCACCCAAGTCCATTACAGGACCTGTGCTTCAACTCCCATAGGTCTCATTTCCTCACTTGAAAAAGAGCCATGAAACCTTTGCATGTTTGCGCAGTGGGACGTTCCATGCTGCCCATGTGGAGGCCACCACGGTGTAGGGACAGATTCTGCTGTGGATGAATGTTTGTTAAAATTTTTGCCCAACATCCCACATAACAAAAAGCTGCCGAGGGCTGGGGCCCTTCAGTAGCACTGTACCCACCTACAGCAGTTGTCGTGCTCTAGAACAACCTTCACAAGTAATTTTAATGAATTGTTGCTAATTAGACGCAGAGCAGGCGTTGGTTTCTAATTCCTCTGACATCAAGTTGACAGTTTCTGCCCCTGCCAGACAGCAGAGCCCACCTGAGTTCACTGCACCACAGCAGCCCTGTTCTCACTGTATTTGACCAGCAAGCTGTGAAGTTCCAGGATAATTAAAGCTTTGCAGGACTAGGCTGTTACTCAGCCTTTCACATCAAATTCACACACAATGGTTATTTCAGCAGCACCCCGGGAGCTGCAGAAAGCTGGTGAAAGAAAGGGGAAGCGAACGGCATCTAATTGAATGCTATAGAAACATGCATCAGCCTTCCTACAGCTGCCATATGTTCCTTCCTTCGCTGCTCACTTCTTACAGGCCTCTCTCGACTTTGTTAGAAAAAATTTTGGCATAATGGTTGCTTTTTGCTGGTGTGTTTACCTCACTGAGGCATTTGCGAGTTATATAATGCATAGGCTTCCTCCTAGGAATTTTTTTTTTCTAACCAAGAATTGAAATGCTCTAGTTTTGAAGCATCCGACTAGATGAAAAGTGAGTTTCTTGGAGGAGGGAGCATCTTCCATGCCCCAGGAACTGAGGAGAAATCATAAAAATCTGTGCTGCATAGGGCACTGGAAAAAGCTATGATAAACAAAGCTGTGCAGATGCAAATTTGGGGAGTTCTGGGGTGCAAAGAGCCTCTCTCAAGACACCTGCTTATATCAGAGTGCAGGTAGGAAGCATAGGTTTGGCCTTTTTAAGCCATACCTTACCTGTGGGTTATTGCCTTGAGTTGCATTTTGAGGATGAATCCCTGCTGTCTACCTGAGCTGCACACCCATCTTTGGTACCTCTGTGTTAAAACCTCAGTGAAGTCCTGAAGAAATGCATTAAATCAGTCCTTCTAGCTTTGATTGCTCCCCTTTTTCTCTTGCAGTATCATTTACGAGGTGACGGGGATGTGGTTGTTTGGGAAGCTGTTCTGTAAAGTCTGGATCTCCTTTGATGTCATGTTCTGCACTGCATCCATTGTCACGTTGTGCTTCATTAGCCTGGACAGATACTGCTCCGTGGTGACCCCGTACCACTATTCAAGAAGGATGTCCCGTGGCAGGTGAGTGGAGTCACTCCTCACTTTGGGTCCCCCCAAATTTTTACTTGGCCACAGCCTATACTGACTTGGGACCAAATGAGTTATTGACAGTTGATGCCCAAAAGCAAATATACCATACACCATATAAAACTTTGCAGAAAATTTGTGACGTGGTGCAAGAGAAAAGGAGCATGCAGCTGAGCTGGTCTGAGGGTGCTCCTAGGAAAGCACTTTTTGAGCTAAGGATGGGTCACAAAATGGGGTAGAAACCAGTGATGTGGGCCAGCTTGTACCTATAGCTTCTGCCCTTTGCAGACATTTCATGGGAATTTCCCCAAGGACTAGGAGAAATGAGACCCAGAAAAAAAGCATATAGCACCAGTCTTCCCCCTCACAATGTTTTCTAAATGATAATATTTGGGGAAATGCAGAGAAAACAGGATGTTTCTAAGCTCCTGCCAAGGTTTCATGTGAAACATTGAAATGAGGATTGGAGGGTGAGGAGAGTTGTCTGAAGGTGGGCAGAGAGGATGCTGCAGCTGCAGGGTGCTGTATAAGGTGGGTTCAGGCCCTTTTGGGAATGTTCTTCCCACTGCAACTCCTGCGAGTAAGACTCGTGGAGTGTGGGTGGTCGCCAGAGCGAGGAGGGGGCTGTGCAGCATCCCGCGTCACAGAGCAAGCGCTGCAGTGGTTCTGAGGATCTAGTGTCCATCAGCCCCATCCTTACAGCTTCTCAGCGGATAACAGCCAGATATTAAAACTGAAACCAAACAGAAAAATGGGCATGCTGTTGTTTTAAATATTAAACGAAAATCCTCTGTAAAACCTTTCCTCCTCTTTTTGCAGCCAGCTCTGAGCATCCCTTACGCTGACCCCAGCCCTGTAAACCACAGACCCAATTACCCAGTCATTAGAGATATTCACGTATGGACTTGCTGTACCCCAGCTTTTTCACTGCTCGGCCACTTCTCCAAGCCCTGGGGGACTGCTGAGCAGTGATATCCCACACGGGTTACCATGGGGATTAAATCGTACTGGATGTTCTCAACTCAAAATAACTCAGACCCTCTCTCCCCCCGCCCCCCATCTCTTTCTTTTCACAGATGCATTGTGATGACCTGCATGGTCTGGGTATACTCCTCCCTGATTTCCTTCCTTCCTGTCATGCAAGGCTGGAATGAGATCCCTGGGGTGGACTTTGATGCAGGCAGAGAATGCATCTTTGTCACCAACTGGATTTTTGCCATCGTGGCTTCTGCTCTGGCATTTTTTGTCCCCTTCATGGTCATGTGCAGCATGTATTTCTTCATCTACCGAGCTTCACGGCTCAAGGCCACTCGGATCATGTCTCAGACCCTGGAGATTCACTACCACCCCAACAGCAAGCGGCAGAACCATCTGCAGCTGGAGAACAAGGCCACGCGGACCATCAGCATTATCATTTCAGTCTTTGTGCTGTGCTGGCTGCCGTACTTTGTCCTGAATGTCTGGCTCGCTGCCAGAGGCACCGACTCCACCAGCACAGTCTTGGTTGACACCTTCAAGATCATCACTTGGTTAGGGTATTGCAACTCCACCATCAACCCAATGCTCTACGCTTTCTTGAACCGGGACTTCCAACGGGCCCTGAAGAAGCTGCTCATTTGCAGGCACAGGTCTCAGGTGGACATTGGAGAAGACATGGTTTCCATAGCCACGTTTTCCAAGACTGCTCCAGACCTAGAATATAGCAATACGGTGCCAGTGCCCAATGGTGCCCTGAAAGGCAAACCCAAGTAATAGGGATTCAGAATCAGTTGCTGGAGGTGGTGGTACAGAAAGTGCCAGAGCACATCCTAATGGAAAAATAATTGGTAGGAAAATAGGGGAAGGAGGGGCTGGAATATTACAGCTGGGGGCATAGGGCAAAGATGCATTTCTTCATCTTCCACAGTTTTACAAATAAGGAACTTTGATATTTTGGGGGCAATTTGTTATAACTAACGGAGATAATTCCTTCCTGAGTAATTATTTTTTTAATGAGCATTTCCTAAGAGAAATTCAACCTTCATGCTGGGGTAAAAATGTCAGTATGATAATGTAAACTTGTCTTTGTGTACATCCTGGTGATCTACAATGTAAGGTTGGAAAGTAGGTCTTTCTTACCAAGCCACTGTAGTGCTCATCTTGCAGTTTCCATTACAAATTCGACCAGTTTTAATAGCTCCACGTGTGTTAGTCTGTGTGCGAGTTAGGAAGGGTGTGATCAAAGAGCAGAGGTCACTCCCTTACGATGGCACCCCTCTGCAGTCTGAGCTGTTCCTCAGGGCTGCCCACTTGCTTCCGAAATACAGATGTTCAGAGATTTCGGTGGCTTTTGGTGAATTATCTGTGAGTTTCTTTATTAATTCTGGAAGGGAATATCCTATGCAGCAAGCCCCAGGAGATGGGCAAGACTTGCTGTAACACCGAGAGCCCAGGGGGTTCAAAGGGGGCTACAGCTGACTGACACCAGCCACAGAGGAGATGTGAAGAGAAATTCTTACTTACTTGTGTGTTTTGCACTGTGATGTCTAATGCCTTGGTGCTATCAGTGTAGCTATAGAGTATTGCTGGACCACACAGCCATAGAAAAATGATGATAAATGGGAAAGGTTATTTTTACCACTCCTGTCTGGACTTCAAGCAGCATCAAACAGCACTGGCTCCCCACAGGAGGGCCACGGAGTACCTTACTGAAGGACTACCCTGAAAACACACAACTGCTTCTGACCATCTCTGAAGCATCATAACAGTGAGTAAAAGCAGGAGCTGAGCCCCCAGGACCACAGCTTTTCTGTAGCACTGGTGATTGCTCAAGCCAACAGCCATCACCTCCCCTGGCACCGTTCCGGTGGGGTCTCACTCTGGTTTAACATGGGAGAGTCACTGCACTCAGAGCCTGCTCTTAGACTGATCTTCCATGGACATGAAACACTTCAGGGCTTTTTCAGAGTGCTCAATCACCTACTTGGGACAGGCAAGGCTTCTGCAGCCTGGGAAGTCAAGCAAACACAACAGAAAGATATCCAGGCTAACATTTAATGCTAAAACTACTGGACTGAGGCACTCAGAGGGGTGAAGAATGTCACTTTGTTAATAAATAAAGAAGTGGGGGTGTAGTAAAAGTCCTGAGTCCTGCTCTTCCAGCTCAAACATAGCAGAGGACATCCTCAGAGGTGTCACAAAAAGCAAATAGCTACTGCCAGGAGCAGCTCAGCTGCTGAAAGCACTGGTACAGGGCCAGAAGTTCTCTCTCAAGATCCTGGTAGAAGAAACAGCCCTGAGCTGGGCTTGCAACACTGGTACTCCTGTCAAATGACTCTTCATGGAGTGGGTTAGGTCTCCCAGCTCCTACAGCTCCAGTAACAACATGGAAGCAGTGAAGATACACAATCACACTCTTATTCCAGGGGAAGCATCTCGGTCCAGTGGGCACAAAGATGTACAAGGCAGGATTCTTGCTCCTGCCACCCATTTCATTCTGATAAAAGAGGACAAGGAACTGTGTTTCAGCCCCAAGAGCTATGGGGAAGGGAACTGAGGGACAGGCAACATCCTCTGCAAGAACAGGCTAGGACCATAGTGCTGCACAGCCCAAGAGCAGGGCTCCCTTTTGCAGGGCTGTAAGCTGAAGGTGCACCCCAATTTCCATGGCCACAGGAACACCTGAGACAGGCTGATAGTTGGTTTATAGATGAAAGGCAAATAAACTTGTCTACAAGCCGTCAGATGTTCTCGCGACCAGGGCAGTCATGTAGACTAGGATGGACTCAGAGAGCTGAGAAAACCCTGCCCTCACTGTTTTCCCTTCCAGGATGTGAGCACAGAGGAAATGCACAACAGACCAAAGGCCTTTAGGTCTTTCAGTCATGGCTGACCTGTCATGACCAGTCATGGTCTGAGCTGGCTGAATCATCTGGCAGGACAGGGATGGAATAGTGAAGTGTAGTATAATTAAAACCCGACTTACAGAAGGAAAAGAACCAGGAGGCGCACCCCTCTGGGTAGCCTGGTTCTGAAGAGCTGGCAAAATAGTCCTGGAGCTGATGGGGGTGTTGAAGGCCAGGTGGATATTTCATCGCACAGAGAAGTGTCCTCCTCCTGCAGCGGTGGGGCAGAGCAAGTGGAGATGCCAGAGGCAGGGAAGTGAGTGCTTGCAAGTGAGACCCAAATTCAGAGGAAAACCTCTCTGGTTAGGGAAAAGACTTGCTTAGTCAAACCCTGGAGCAAAAAGGAGCAAAGACTGGGACAACACTCCAGCATCCAGTGTTAAGAGAAGTGAAGACTCACTGACACAGGCAGTTAAATGCGGCCAGGTGTTTTTGTGGCTGGGCACGCACCACACAGGGTAGGATTTGTACATGCCTTCCAGGGTGAGTGTAACATCCTAGAATACACGGACACACCCAGGGTGAACATGTAATGCCATCTTTGGTACTGAAATGCTGCAGGGCCCTTGGAATACACAGCTACTCATATCCAGCACAGATACGCAGCAAGTTAAAAATACCTTATTCTTAATTTCCTGTGCTCCACCTGTAATCACTGAACTGGCAGGGAAGCTAGAGAGGCTTCAAACGTGGCCATTTAACTGTGTTTACAGCTGATGCTAACAGGGAAATCCAAAGCAAGAGGACACACTTCTGTTTTAACCCAGCTAAATTCAATAAAGTTCTGTTTCTGACCAAATATTCACTGCAGCATTCTGGCTTCAACTGGTCAAGCCAATATCTAGGAGTTATCCAAGAGCACAAGGAAGATAATCTTTGTAACCCATCACTGCTTTATCAGAAGGCTGCAGTGTCACTGGTTTAACTGGTAGCTGTACACCACAGTACAGTGATCCCCAGAAGGATTTGAACCCGTAACAATTACCGCTTCAAGACTTCCCTCTCTGTTAACAGTTGAGAGATGGCCAGTTTAGGGGAGCTGGGCTCCCCTCTCTCTTCAGACAGTGTCTCTGCCAAGCAGCATGTGCATCTTTGCATCATCACATTCACTGTGCAAGGATGAGACAGGAAAACAAAGCAGGTTACAGAAATGCAGTGCCCACCCTGTTCCAACTGCACGAGGCTGCCACCTGCAGCAGGCACCGACACAGGCTTTGAACAGAAGCAACTACTGGGCTTTTTTTTTTTTTTTTATAAATAAAAAAAGTTTATTAAATCATTTAGACTTGAAAGAAGTCACAATAATCAATGCACTCAACAATTACAGCAAGTGCATTCTGTACACCACCAACCCAAATGGATTGATTCTGTATTTTATAAATAAAAATTAACATATTTACAATGAGAAATAAAAGCATGGCATTAGGCAGTTAAATTAGCAGATTACACAAATGCCTACCAGTTGATTTTTTAAAAAGTCCAAATCTACAAGATTACATACGACATGTATGACTTCATTAGGTTTAACTTTTCAGAATCACAACATTTTTGTACATAATTTTTACTATGGCTCTTCCAAGCACCACGTATAAACCCATGTTTAAATGGCAAAAAGCTCCTTTTCCTTCTCTAGAGGTTTATCTGTATAAAATGCATTCCCTAAGATCTACTATAGTGCAGAAGTATGAAACGATTTCCTCTAATGACCGGCTATGGAGAGTGACAGTATGTACAACTGTGGTACTTTTTTGCTTTAAAAATAGTGCAGATTCCCAGTTTACCCACCAGGGACAAAAATGGAGTCATAGTTCATTTCAAAATCATCTTAATTTCACCAGAGCAAGTGATCTGGATAGATACTCACTAGGCTTAGAGACTGTAATTTGCTCTATAAAAATACAGTATTTTAATTCTATTTACATGTTACAGATCTCTCACTTACCCAGCAAGCTGACGTTTACAAGCTTAAAAAAAACCCCAAACCCCAAAAAACAATAATGGAGCACAACATTGGTAAAGCACAGTAGCTGGACCCATCCACCTATAAGAAAAATGGAATGTGAAAAGTGTGGTTACTGGCTTTCGTTGGCTGTCAAAGTAAACGAAAATCTGTCCAACACGTCTTATACATTAAACATGGCAAAAAAAGTTTAAGTAAACTATTTCCAAGATAGACATTCTGCATCATAGGATCCTTCTGCTGAACAATCCCTGTAAAACCTGCTGAGTGGAAGAAGTGATCCTGAGGATAGTTATTTGCTTGGTTGTCTGGAATGCTTATTTCCTGATAAGCTCATTGTCCGTGACCTCTGCCTAAGCACTGGTTTTGGTGGGAGTTCCAAGTCTTCAAATACAGGATTTTCTATGATTGCTGCAGCCTCCGGTCTTTCAGTGGGGCTCGGAGAGAGCATGTCCTTCACCATGGTGTACTAAAAGAAAATGTGACATGTGTTAGGTGAACCAATTCATAATTTCTTTCTTATTTTGTGTTTTGACTTCAACTGTGGCTGTATGAATGAGTGAAAGATGTCCCCAGTTTTCTTCTGAGTAATGTGGGTATTAGTGTGTTGGCACAGTTGCCACAAGTGCATTAAATATTTGAAAATGTATCACTGTGCATACATGAAACTGTCTTTACTGTCAAGGACCACGATCAACGTGACAAATCAAATCTGATCCAAGATTCAATAGAGTTACAGAACCTTTATGTTATTTGCAATCAAAAAAATTTTAAAACATATGAAATATAATTAATGGTAATTTTTAGCTTCATGTTTAACCCACCATGTTTTAAGCCACACAGTAATTTTCCATGCCAAATCAGAGGTTTTCTTTTAAATATACAGGTAGTTTGAATATGTCTCAAATTTAATCAGAATTAGTGTCTTGCTCCAGCTGAGCACAGCACATCACATCCCCC